CAACTTATTCTTAACTTTTTGAGAAATGCAACCATTGCTAGCAATAAAGTATTTTCGTCCTCGATTGATTGAACACTGTTTTGCAACTCTGCATTGTTCGTCCACATGATGGGTCATCAGTACCGTGGGACGTAAATTGATTTACAGTACTTTTAACACAAGCTTGGCAGTTGATTACGTGAGCAATATTGTCATTTGTTGTGGTAATAAATTTAAATTCAAGGTGTTCGTTTACAGTAATGTCGCTGTACGCGTTTTCTACTGAATTCTCGGAATAATCGGCAGATTTCTCTCCTATGGAGATGCACATTCACATGGGCGTGCTTTTTTGTGAGATTTCTAATTACCTATTAATTGGATGGGTTCCTCCAGACGAGAAAGTAAAAGTACAGAATAATTCTTAATGTCAGTAATATTCCTTTATTCTTTTATACCATTTGGAATAATAATGATATAGGGACTGACCTAGATTGTTTTTTTTTAATACTAACTTGTTTACGACATAGTTACAGTTGAAGAAAATTAGATCAGACTTAATAAATATATTGTTTTATGTACATACATATACATCTTTTGTTTTATTTATGTTATCTACGTTATAACGATAATTAAAACGTATTATTGTAAGTAGTACACATGAATATACGTAACTAAGAAAAAAACTGAAATAAATTGCTTCTTCCTGTTGGAGCAGCCAAGAGTAAACATTATAACATTCTTGAGCTCTAATCTATAAATCTTGTGAAATCTCTCTGTGAACAGTTTATTGTTATTAGTCATTAAAGTATATTTTCAAGGCTCCTCCAGCCTATCCTTACAAACATTTATATACAGTAAACATGTCAGAAGATTGACAGTAATTTATTTTGAAGAATATATAATCGGTGGGTTATGCCCGATGAATACCAACAATAAAATTATTTGCGATGATTCAACGGGAGGCTCTTTCAAAATTTACATATGGCCTGTCAAATAATGTCGTAATGGTACTGTAGGAAGAGTATATAAATCATACAAGAAGTTTCGAAATTTTAATAGCTGATTTCTGGTACGCAGATTTAAAATCTTTTTGTGACGCCATCTATTAATAAGAAGCCCAACTAAAATCTCAGACCACCGTCGTTCTCCTTTTATTTCCTAATAATATTTTTATACAGATTTAAAGATTTTAACATAATTACGAGTAAAAAGATTTACAAGTCTATTTTTAAACCCATTGTTCAAACATTTCAACAACGTGTTTGTTCTACAAATTCTCGTAAACATCTGAATTATGTAGGCAAGCATTCTTCTGATCCTTCACCGTGACCCATTATTGAAAGTGGGGCGTTAAAATGAGAAAAACTATGCAAATAAGCTAATCGCGACGTCCCTCGAACAATCCTCTGAATCGGCAGACACGCAAGAGGCATTCGCTGTGAAGATACCATTTATTGACGAGCTCCACCCGATGCAGTCGATTGCATAACAGCAATCAATCACGCCGTGCTTGTTTTCGTTTCTACAGGGTGTACAATTGTTTTGACAGCACCTACTCTTCGATTTTTATAAAGTAAAACGGTAGTTTTAATATTTGTTTCGGAAATATTCTTGGATTCAGCAGAAATTCTTCGAATAACAAATTGTCGTGGTGTAAATTCATTTTAGACTCACTCTAATGAAATGCCACAACTTCTAATTGATTTCGCTTGCAAGAATAAATTGTTTTTTGTGTTAGTACAACTTAACAACACTTTACTTGAGTACCTTTTGTAAGTGAGTATGGTAAGCTGCTTCAAAATGGATTTTTTAAGTTAATTCACTTTTCAGATCTAAATTGCAATGACACATCTTCAAGTCCCACATAATGACGAATTCCATTAATGAATGCATTGTTAACAAATCAAATAAATATTCAATTAAGTCCCCATTGTTCCCGGTTGAGGTTAAAAAACCCATTGCATCATTACAGTGATATGAAGATGGATCTTATGAATGACTAAATACTTACTACGCGCTATTAAAGATTTGTTAAAAGTCTACATTAAGGAAATAAAGTTGGTGGTTACTTGGAAATCATTTTAATAATTGAATGTGTATACCTTACAGTTTTACAACATTTCGATATGGCATCTTTTTCAGTAGTTTTTTTTCCCTATTTCAAAATTAACTCGGACCAAATTAAATTTTTTTTATCTTCTCAAATGAAGTCAATGGAAAATACAAGGCAGATAAGATTCCTAACTGATGACATTCCGGAAAGCAACTACTACCCTAAATAAAATACCCCTAACATACAGAGGGGTATTAAAACGATATTTATATGCGCCTAATGTTTTGTGTATGAGGCATTCCATTCGTTGGGGCACAAGGAGGCATTTGCATGCACCTGCGGGGCCACACATTTCCATTCCCAGTTCCCACCGTACAAATTCGATTGCGATATCGCGTAATTGTTTTTGTCAAGTGCGATATGATGACTAAGGCTAATGGTTGTGGGAACGCGTCGTGTCGCCTTATCGCATTTGCAAAATGGTTTAGCTGATCGTTTTTTACGCAGACGATACTGACAGGGGTTCCAAGCAATAATGTATAATCACAGCTTTAGCAGCTGAAGTGTCAGTAATAAAAGAAAGATGCACTTTTATGTATCGATTTAGAAATAAGGAAATAGAAAGGGATTCGCTAGTATGAACTGTAATAAACGTAGAAATAACGATAGCACGCAATAATCTCAAAATGGAAATAGAAGTAGAAGTTAGTAACAATGTGAAAATATGTTTTATAGGGTTTAGAATATTGTCGCGGATTGTTGGGCGCCATATCGTAGATTAGTGATTAACACGTTTTGAATTTGATTTGATTTATTGAAATTCTCGATAATTTACATTAAATGAGAATAATTGTGATAGCTGCGGGGTACTTGGGTTGACATTCGTACACGGTTGAGGCTGGGTCCGCAGGTTCTCGCGTTGAATTTACAAATTTCGCCTCCCCGATAAATACCCATCCTGGGATGGTAGTGGTCTCGAAAGGGCAAATAATTAAGTAAACATACACTGAAAAATTGCATTTTTTACATCGTATTATTGGAAGGAATAAATAATTCATAGGAAAGAGAACTAGATATCGTACGATTGTATGTACACATCCATAAAAATATACGCCTGAAAGAATTGCTATGGTTTTCGAAATGGTTTATGCATACATACATGTTTATGAAACAGTTGGTAATTATTATTATTAGTGTCAGTTATATAGGTAAAGCAAACCAAGAAAAAAATATTGTAATAATGTTTTTTTAATTGTAATTTACATTATTTACAAATAATTTGGTCACACGACAATAAAAAATTACACAGAGAATACAAGATTAAAACGAAACCAGATGTTTTAAGTAGATTAAACATTTCAAAACATTCCAATAAAACAGTACCTTAGGAATTGAAATTGTATGTTTTTAATCGAAAATGTAAAGTAGACTTTTTACATTCAGACCTATTTCAAGGGAATTCAAATAGCTGCTTATCGCCGTAACATCTATCAGGACGAAAAAATGACTTTCATGCGGAGTCTCCTCTATTTTTACTTCTTTCGACACGCAACTGATGTTTTATATTGAAATCAAGTCCACATACCATCCGCGTCGTTATACACCCTACCCCTACATCAAACGTTTCGACGTAATCGTCCCAGCCTCAGGCTACAGCGTTTATCTTCGCACCCGCATCCTCACAGCCTCCCGCGACACCATACAATTCAACAACCACGTCCTCCTTTCTTCACCAGCTATATAAATTCGCTTACGTGGGCGACACCGATAACCTGCCGCTATAAATTTTCCCGTTTCGAGTATTATTTATCCCTCGGTCTTCTCTTTCGGCCAGCTAACGTTTAGACGGGATTAAGTGGGTTTATTAGTACTTTTTGTGGCGATTTACGATGGCGGAAGAGTCTCGAGTTTAATTACTTTACAGATTAGTTTCTGTGTGTTCGTTTATTTATTATTAAATCGATATGTTTATGGTGCCTGTAAAGTTGAAACGTTACTTACTTGCATTGGTTGAAAAGGTAAAATAACATTTCTCTTGAACTTCGGTGCTTTGGAATACTTCTGTAGGTTCTCACATAATTTTACCGAGTATGACAGTACGGGAGCACCGCTTGAAGGTTTAATAAATGGCCAAAAATATAAAAAAAATGTTACTTCGAGATGATTCTGAATTTCTCTTTTCTTTTGTTTTAGAATAGCAATTCATTTGCAGCAATTTTGTGTTTTTTTTTCTTCCGATGTAGTCAACTGTGTCATCTTGTTAATCAAATGTGAAATAATTAACATTTACTTTAATGTACGTAATAATAATGCACGACATCTGCGGACCCATCATAAGAGGTGTTGGACCGTCGACCTTGGTGCCTTACAATTTATTAGCCAGGATACTGGCTAATACGTATAGTACACTCCAAATTATCACTATTTGCGTTGTACAAAATCCATTGCAGATCATAGAACCGTTTATTGTTAGTACCTTTTATCAGTAAATATATTTTTTAAGAATTCAAAAATGTCAAAAAAATTCAAAACTGCGGTGAAGATTCTAGAGGACAGATTGACTTTTAAGAAGCTTCTAAACCAGATAGGAGGCTTAGAAACTGAAACTCCAAGTAAATAGTTAAGTGTACTTAAAAAAAGTAATATTATGTTGCATAATCATTTTAAATTATTATGTATTTATCAACTTCGCTTGTTTTCTAACTAGTTCCATAAAATAAATCAACTCACGGTGTTTTGCTGCATCATTGTCTTGCTTAAAAGTGTGCAACGCATAATAGTGCCTCGTTACTGTTAAGGCGGCGTATAATTAAAATCGTTATCTCAAAAATCCCTAATTTTTCGCTTCCGTGACAATTTAAATAATAATTTTCACACATTTGCATCTTTTTATTATTCGTTATTCGCGTTTAACGATTTAAAATTGTGACGACTGTATATTTCATTGTTCATTCTTTTTTTTTTTCAGAGCAACTCATTTTGGAGACGGATCCGGAGAGAGGGAAAACTGAGTTCGCTTTCGATAATCCAGGATTCAAAGGTAAGGAAGCAATATTTTCAATTAAATGTATATAAATGGAAAATAGTTACTTTAGTTGGTAGACACTTTATTCGCGCATTTTGGGTTAACTCTGGGTTCTTCCCAAACTGGACTTTCGGTGAAAAAGTTATAGTACAGTCATTGATTGAAGTTTTTTACCTCCAAATTCTTTGAAACTGAACCGATCGACTTGAAATTTGGCAGATAGTTAGAGAAAAGGTCAATGAACATTAGTGACATAGCGCCGATTGACGCTTCCACCCTGTTGGGGGTTGACACCCCTCCTCGGGGGTGGAAATTTGTTTCAAAAATAACGCTTGAAATCGATAGAGAATCAAATTTAGAGCAAAAAGTATTCGAATAATTTTTTCGAGAAATCAATAGTTTTTTAGTTATTCACTATTGAAAACTTGGAATTTTGAGTGAAAAAGAAAACACTTTTCAAAGTATTTTCCGCGAATAACTCAAAAACCAAGCATTTTATTAAAAAAGTGTAATGAATAAAAATGTAGCTTATGAATAATCAAAGAAGATCGTTAAAAATTGTACGTCCTATACAAAGCGAGATATGGTTAGTGGAAGGGCTTGTTTTGGGGGGAACACTCGAATCGATGTATTCAACGTCAAATAACGGAAAAAGGAGTAATTTTACGTGTATAACGCTCCTGGAGTCTTTTGTAGTACTCAAAAAGACCTTCAAAATGAGCACTAAAAGTTAATTAGAGCAAAACTGAAGGAGTTATCGTCAAAAACAGATGGGTTGCTCATATTTTTTAAGGAAAAATGAGCAGTAAACGCTGTACCATTTCCATCAGAATTAAAATTAATCGTAGACCCTTTACAATTAGTTTTGTTTTAGTGTTTTTCACACGATCCTGAAGTTAGACAGGTTTTGCGTATTTTTTTAATAATGTACGGTAAAAGTTGAAAACGTATTTTTCATTATTCAAAAAAATTGCCTTATTTATATAATAATTCTGAAACTATGAAAGATACGTAAAAAATGATAGACAACAAAAATGTAGCTTTTTTTTCAACAAATATTTTGCTTTTTTTAATTCCTATAGCATAAAAAATAAAGGAGATATCGCCCTTGAAGTATCCATTTTAGTGAAAAAACGACCTGTCTCGAGCCCTTCGAATCTTTCCCTTTAAAAAACGAAGGACTTAATAGGTTTTATATGCAAACGATCTTACAGCTCTTGAAATTATCTTTAAAATGCTTTTTCATTTTTGGAACAAAATGTTAGGATTCAAATGCGCGTCAATATAAGGCAATTTTTATTTTAAATTACTGCACAATTATAGCATTTAAAACGTAATTTTTTATAATTTTTTTAGCACAGGGGTGATTTATAACGGTTGAAAAGTGTTATGAGATACAAATTCTTTCATAAGCAATGAGGGAATTTTTATTTTAAATAATTGCACCGTTAAAGCATTCCAAGCTTTTAAAAAGTATTTTTTGTCATTTTTGTCAATACAGGAGTGGTTTTTAGGGGTTGAAAGGGAAAAATTCTTTTATTAGCTATAAGGTAACATTTATTTTAAATAATTGCACGATTTAATCATTCCAAATCTTTAAAAAGTAATTTTTATCATTATTTTATGCATAGGGGTAGTTTTAAGGGTTAAATAAAGGGTCGAAAAGATCAAATATATCATAAAACATGTTCGAGAACATGGAACATTATTTAATCTTTGTGCTTGATCAAGATTTTTATCAATAAAATGCTTTTAACTTAAATTTTTCAATTTTTTTCACTTAGGGGTAGTTTTTACCCCTAAAAAACAAATAGCGTCAATCGGGCTTATGTCACTTTTGAACTTGAGCCTAAGATGAGACTTATTCTAAATTTTCATGCAAATCCATGCAGTTTCAAAGAATTCGGAGGTTACAGCTGATTTTCAGATTCAATGGCTGTACTGTACTATCTGTGAATATTTGAAAATAGCCATAATTTTTCATAATTTCGTTGTTACTGTATTTCTAAGGGCCAGCGCGCACCCTGTATGTTCCGTGTTTACAATTTACGACACGACTGTGCTACTTGTGACCGTCCGAACGGTAACTGGTTAACTATTTACAATTTAAATCTCGCGAAACTAGGAACACGTAACGACTGCCCCTTATTGCACTCTAAACATCGCCATTAAACGCCGGGATTCGCTTCTATTTACGTGTTTACTCGCTCTGGTAAGAGCCTTGTCGTGTTTTGTTTACCGGCCGCTTCGGTGGAATTTACATCTAAATCGGGCACCCACTGGTTTTGTGGTCAGTGGTCACTCAGTGGAATGCGCATCGGCAGATTCACCTGCCGGCCTTTGCTTGATAACAAATGCATTTGGACGTGACCTAACAATTCCGAATTTTATGTCATGAAATGAGTAACGTTGGACGTGAGTGGCAGACAGGAATGAATAATCACATCACTCGGAGTTTATCCTTAAAATGTTTCTTGACTCAATGAATTTACCGTATTTCTGATCCTAGAAAATATACATAATTGTTATGTCATCGCAATTGTCATCACAAATCGTATTAGACCAAGCAAATTAAATTTTTACTCGAAAAAAGTCCTATCCGCTAGTTTATTGTAAAATTGTCTAAAGGAGCATAATACAAGACATCTCTCGTCTCGTGAGTCAAAAACTTTTATTAGCTAACTTTTCTATTTAAACAAATAAGTGAAGAAAACAGTTTTCTCACGAATGTATAAATCATTACCATGGAAAATACTTTACAGCACTATACTTTCTCTAAACTGACAGATAAATAGGTCTTTTTTTAAATATACAACAATTTATTTTTTATTGTATTTAATAATTCTTCAAAATATGCCAATAATATTATTACTGGTATCCTGCCGTCTGCCAATATATTCATTATAATTATTGTTTATATCACAAAAGGCACAACGTTAACTATATAAGCCAGGTTATCGAAACTAAATAAATATGGTCTTGTGGCCTAAAGCGTTACGCGTTGTCATACAAATCTGAAGGTTCGGGGTTCGATCCCTGATGAGGTACGGTTTTTTTTCAATTAATATAATATTTCGAATGTAAATTTCCATAGTCCACATTTCAAGACAAATATTTCCGCACAAGTTGCTGGTCACGAAGTGAATAATTTCTCACAGTGTTGCCAAACATCTGCTTATTAGAGGCGCGCTAGATTGCTTGTTAAATTCTGCTAGAAAATCGTGAAATATAAAATATAGATAAGTGTAGGTATAGATCAAGCAAATTAAATTTTTACTCGAAAAAAGTCCTATCCGCTAGATTATTGTAAAATTGTCTAAAGGAACATACTACAAGACATCTCTCATCTCGCGAGTCAAAAACTTTTATTAGCTAACTTTTCTATTTAAACAAATAAGTGAGGAAAACAGTTTTTTCACTTTGCAGGGAAAACCATCAATTTTAGCGAAAAGTGACTCTCA